ATTACAAATCATTTAACTTCAGTGGATTCTCATCGGACATTAGTATTTTTACGGAAACATTATATAAATTCATCGTGAAAAACTCAGCGTGTGTGGCCGGTGAATAACGAGGGACAAAGCTAGCTAACTTCCTGTTAAGCGAATTGTACCTACGTCAACTCGTAATTAACTCGCTCATTGTGAACCCTCGATAAGATATCAAAGAAGTTCCAGACTAGAAAGAAGACCTTATATTGCTTGTAAGTTTATGAAACTTTTGTTTATAAATCATTGTGTATAATAATTATTTGTAATAACTGTTATTGTAAATTGTATTGTTGTGTATATATTGAAACGTATTTGTGTTAAAAAAAAGAAAACTGTGTGTATCAATCTTATTGGCAAATAGCATAAACTGGCTATATATCGGCTTTTACTTAACTACTAAATCTAAAGTATAATTTAACTACTAAATCTAAAGTATAATTTAACTACTAAACTTAAAGTATCAGTTAATTGGGTTTCCGACCATTTGAAGTTCTAATACGTAACAATTATTACATTTTAGGTTGACTTTTCTCGAATCTTTGAAGACTAGACGCAGACTGAAGCCAAATCACTAATTACTAAACTGATGTAGACAAGTTTGTCTACTGGTGTATATTTCAAATGAAACTTTTGTTAATCAGCTAAATCTACTATCAAATTTGTGATAATAGCGTGTAACGTTTGTAAGTTATTGTATGGTCGTGTTGCACAGTTCTTGGTTTTTCAAGTTCTTATGTAACGTTCAATATTTTCTCCGTCTAATAACGAAGTGCAAGTCATAAGAATATACTTCATTTGACGAGTAGTAGTATAAGCGTGAACGCGAGTATAAAGTCGTATTACGGTCCCCAGGAGGGACCGGAAACTTTCGCTTTCGTCGTACCACATTCCTCTCGGACGTCGACCTCTTAAGAGTAGACCTACAGTCTTTATAGATTATTTCAGTGACAAGATTTTATGAACTTTTTATATATCTTCTGAAAATTGCTATTTTTTAACCTCGTCGGTTTTTACCTCATAACCATGTGAAGTTGACATTCGTAACAATTTGTTTTATGTTTTGCGTCGACATTTTGAAATTCTTACTTCTGGTTAGATCAGCAGTCTGGTAGAGTTCGTGTATTTCACTTATGAAGTTGCCAATCTCATAATTGTCTTTTTTATTTTTTAGGTATGTTATCATTCTCAAACTCTGGCCCACGATAACATTTCGAAAAAGTATTGTTTAGTGAACTATATATCTCAAATGGACATATTGAATTATATCTACACCACTTTCTACAAGGAGAATTTCTGAAATATTTTACCAAAGTTTCCTTTACAGAATATCGATCATGTTCCAAGTGAGCATGATAAGTCCAGCGATTGTTTAATATGTTAATACAAGTCGATACCTTTAAAAATACTGTTTTATTTCAAGTTCCGTGTGGATTATCTAAATTATTAATTCTTTTCCTGTATTTTAAACATTTTAATTCTCCTAAAAAAAATAAAAAAAACTGGAAGGGCCAACATTAATATCCCCCCCCCCAATCCATATATCCATCTTTGGTGAGATTAGTATATCAACTAGATTTCAGGATAATGCAAGGAGCATAAACTACAACATATATACTTCAGAGGGATAGACACCTAACACAGTATCAGCCTAATTTCTACGTGAGAAAGAAATAAAGTTATACTTCATAGGATAGTTAGTTTCTGCGTAAATAGATTTAGTCACAATAACAGAAACTTTAAGAATGGAGCAAATAAGACCCATTTTTCGACACGGTATATGGAATTTTATGCACTGTGTGAATCAAGTTACTAGTAATATTAATAAACCATTGTAACGTTTACATATGCATATTGTGTTTAGGTTCAGGGAATCCTATTTCATACATTGTGATTGTGGGAATTGTGGTAAGGTGTCAATTTGCACATTCTCCCCTGGATTGGTAGAAGAAGTATAAGGAAATGGGTCAAAACCACTAGTCTGCGATTTGTTTAACCTTTGACACCTGTAAAATAAAAAGAAAGGTAAAAATCCCAAATCTGTCTGCTATAGTCTGTGGAGGTTGTCACAAGGTATATTTGTGCTAAGTCTCGTTTCGATTGATGTAAATACAAACGAACAGCGAGCCAATGTGTGTTCTTCTAATACCTGACTTTTGAACTCTAGAAATTAGAAATAAAGGAACTGCACACGATTATTATTTCTAGAAAGAAGAAGAAAGAAACATAAGAAATGCAACACACCTCCCTTCCTATGGCGAGCATATGGATATTACATGCACATATATAAAAAACGGGTGGATAGTGCTAAATATTCATATATTTTCGAAGTTGATAGTAAATTTTCCAAAACATTTTCTTTTCACATACATTATAGGTCAACACAACGTCATGGTTTTATGTTCATCGTAGTTGAAACTGTAGTTAATACATATTTTCCAATCCAGAAATCGCTACTACTTGCTCCATGTTTCGCATTCATTCGTGTACTTTATGCTTTTGAGAAAACGGGGATTGGTGAGAGGCTCATATTTTTAATGATCTTGAGGTCGCTGGTAGGTGTTTTTGTATACAAGATTCAAGGCCACCATCTGTTCGAAGAAGCTTAATGGTACGATAGAATGTAATGAATTTGTCTGACGCAAAACATTTCCCGAGTTACGTGTATTTGTTTTCTAGTTCATTGACTCTAAGGTATTACTGAATTGCAATAGAAGATTGCAGGAAATACAAATATACAGGTTATAAAAATCACGGAATGATTAGTTGAAGTTGTGTTTGACGAATGTTGTTCGGTGCTCAAAGTAATAAGCATATAATATAGATTCACGCGAAAATAATAAAATGTTATGTTCTGTTTTCCATCATATCCGTAAGTTACATTAAACGCCATGTGTTGCACTTTGAAACTTTTATAGATTCCACAATATATGCGGCATATATTGCACCGGGAAACTTTTACAGGCTGCACAAAACGTGACCTGCTGTACTGGAAATTCGTATAAGTTACACAAAATGTGTCGCACGTATTGTACGGTAGTGACTTATCCTAATATAACAGACCTTGTTTACAAGTCTAGAGTTATTGTGATTTTTTTTTCTGTGATAATTCAAACATGGGTACTGTAAACTTAACTTTCTCTATCATGTGTTCCACATATGGAGAATCGTATAATGACTAATGTCGGACCGACCCACATAATGTTGTGTTTGTTTTATTTTTAGATCGTGTCCTTTCGTGTGAATGTTCCATCAACAACAGCTTCTAGAGCGAGAGCTACGTGTTGAAGAACAGTAATGGCTTAGAGATAGGAAAAGAATAAAAAGCTTGCTATTAGGAGGTTTTCATCGCATGAATACGTGACATCATTTCTGGTTATTGCTCACTCAGTGCGCGTCTTCTTAACACCAGGTTTGAATGACATCCTTCACCAACACGAGAGATGTAGAAACTTATCTTTTAACATCATGGGAACTATCAGGTCGCCCACACGCGACGTGATATTTGGCTATGGAAGCGGTTAAGTACTTTCTTACTAAAGAACATAATTTAAAATTGAAACAGTATTACGTAAATAAGTATTGACAGACGTTTCGGAAAATTATTACTTTATAGTTCTTCATACCACTACTTCTGGTCGAACGTGCGTATTATTCTTCAAAATCGTGCGATATGGAGTAAGTATTCATAGAACTATCACTATATTTTATATCTAACACAAATTATTTTTTTTTACCCATTAATTGGCAAGAGAAAGAAGCGATTTTTTTTGTCATCATTAATTATCGATGAGAATAAGCCAAACTTTGTGTTAAAGATATTTAAACTTATTGTTAGATAATAACCTAAAGATGGGGGAATTTTATCCTGTGTTAAATGACCATGAAACGCAGAGTTAAATTATCACGAAATAAACTTGAACTGAAGAAAGCTTATTTCCGAGTTGTAGAGTTTATTCATTTTGGACGCAAAACTGTGTAATTCTCCATAGTATTGTATAAACTGAATTGCCAAACAATGAAGTGATGTATCTGTAAATATTGGAATTTAAAATCAATGTATTGTGGTTAGAATACTCATCTCTGGAAATCATTGAATTTTTATCATGTGAACAAAGTAAAATGTGCGACTTTGTTTAATATTTCATGTTGATTCTTCACATCAAGCTGTATATATATTGCTACAGCCACTTTCCTAAAACTTGGCCAGTGTGATCTGAAGAGACTTGACTAGTTTAACAGTGATGTCGACTTCCCTTAGTGTCGATGCGTCCACTACTCCAAATTCCTCAAGTTATAAGATGAACGGAGGAGTGTCGCCAAGGTCAAACCTCAACCTGAAATCACTGAGTGGTTCCAAGCCAAGTGTAATCAGACTGTCACCCACAGACTTTATTAATAGCGACAATGGGCCTGAAAAACCACTGCTCAACTTGTTTCAAGGTAGTATCCAACCTGTATCGCAACTGTTTTTCTCTTCAAAGCCTCCTCCTAAGCCAACCATTCCTCTTCAGGAAAAAGGAACTTACCAAACGTTAGCGGCGTTAGCATTAGTATGCCTATTATCGTTACTTATGTCCTTCTTGGCTACTCTGTTTTTGGACAAACTTGGTTCGTTCACCTATGATTTTCTAGATGGTGTGATCAGAACTAATGAATACGTGCTCGTTTATCAAGTGTCTGTGGCCCTGAGCACACTGACGATTTCCCTGAACGTATGCTGTGTATTCATCTGTTGTCTTCAATTTTTGTTTACCATCAAGTTGCTCAAGACTTCTCAAGAAGTAGACAGGTATGAAAGGTATAACACTATTAATGACCATTTTCTTTATTTTTGTCTTCATTGTTTGATCATGGGTGAGCATCGTATAATAAAAATCAGAAATGTTTAACCTGTAAAAAACTGATTAACTTTCTTCGTCCCGCCCCCCCCCGCCCAATTTTTTTATTTATGATACAATGACAATTTTTAACGTGCACTAATGTAAAAATACATAGAAGTTTCTTAAATAATCTAGTATTCTCTTCAGCATTCCACTACGCTTTTTTTAAATTTTGCTTTGTTTTACTGTTACCTAAAAATGTCATTTTCCATTGTATAATTAGTTATACGCGTAGAATGATTCAATTAAAGTTATAGAATTTGCTCATGTATTTCATATAACATCACAAGTCATACACTAACAGGATACAAAATAGTCTTTCGTACTCTGCAGTAGCTAGATGACATTGCTTAGCGGAAACCAACCTATGGAATTGAATTTATACATTTATCTCGAGTATAAATTCCAACCAAAATTCAAGCTAGTAGCAGTAAATAAGTTAGATATTAATTATATTTAAAAACCTCAATTCGAATTTAGATGGCTGATAATTAGCAGTATAAATATATACAGGCAGGATGTTTTGATTTATTCAACGGTCTGCACGTAACATGCGCTAGTTGTTTACGTAAGTGGTCTGCGCTCCTAAGAAGACTTCAGGAAAAGGCATAGGAGCGTATTAAGACTTCATAATGCCTCAGTGAATCATATATTCGACAACCTTGTTCCCATTTTAAAATTAACTTTTTTTGTTTGTTTGTTTTTCATCGTACCTGATATTCGTGTCTATTAAATGCTTCTTGAAATAACTAGTTTAGAGCAATTCCTCGCGGTGGTATTCACCTTGCCATTTATCGTTATCTAAACATACTGAAAACCATTTTTATATCAGCGTAAAATGTTCTGGCACAAATTGAGAAAGAAGGATTAAAAAACAAAATGCCGCGATAAGCGCGTTATGTGCGTAAACGTCCGTATAAGTATTTGTGATACAAAACCTGCCAAGAGTTATCAGATGTCAGGCTTTTATTAAAACAAACTCGCAACTCTTGTAGCTACGTAAAGCGTTTCTTCTTTACTTCAGGCAGGAGCATTAAGTAGTTTACAAGCTAGTTTTGCATTAATTCCTGATACTTGAGAAACCTGTTGATAACTAGATACTCATACATTCCAGTTCAAGAAACTTTAACTCGGGTTAATTTTATATTACTGACATTATTCGCAAACTTACAATATATTCATTAAACAAAAAATTAAACATTTGCGTGCACACTAATTTTTTAAAATTTAAAAATGTACAACAACTGGCTCGTCATTTGATCCAAATTTGATTATTTTTTTTTGTGAGGTCATTTTTGCAAAACCTTTCCACTGACTTTGTAAAGGTGATTGATTTGTGGTACTATTAACAAGGAACTTGAATGTTTCTGGTATTTTGTTTCGTAAAGAGAGAAAATATGGAACTAATCGTGGCTATTCATCTGACGTGTAGAAAGACTGCTTTCGTAGTACGAGTACAATACTTTACTGTGTATTTCTTAATCAAAATAGTTAAAAAAAATACTGTTAACTATTTCTCTAAAATGTTCTCAATTTATCTCAAAACATTCATATCGTTTAATTCAATATGGAACAGAAAACAGAAGAACAGTATTCCATTACACATTTAAGCCAAAACTATATCATAAACATGACTTCGTCATAACTTGTAAACAAGTAATTCTATCATTTGGACACTTTTTTTTGTAAACCAGCATGAACAAGTTAACTTTAGTTTCATGTTATATGGAAATGCTGATATACCAAGATAACTAATAAATCATGGTCATTTCATGTTGTAATTTTTAATGGCAATATTTTCTAGTTTATTGGTTAAGTTTTTTATGTTCAAGAAAATATACAACTACATAAAGTATGAGTGTATTACTAAATACAATAAAAGCGTTGAAATTATAAATACGAAATTACCGTGAGATTATAATGGAGATAAATTAATATAACCCGAAAGTTTATAATGCTGTATGTCATTTAACGTTATATAACTAAGTAATTTATGGTTTTTATCTAACTATTCTTTGAAAGCTACGTTTATAATATTTATTTAGAAACAACAATATATTTTAGGACAGCCTCCTATTTGAGAAGAACAAGTCTTACAAGAACAATAGCAATAGGCGGTTTCTTCATTTCCATCCCAGTCTTCTGTACAGGTGAGTGCGCCGGTAAATATTACTGAATGCACATTAAAGGATTATAAACATAAAATTCGAGTATGATCCCTGCGATACATAGCGCAGATAGCTTATTGTGCAGCTTTGACCTTAAACAAAGCATGCATGTTTTCCAAAAGTTTGACAAGTCATACTCATTACTCCACAATGTAAAAAGCAGCTTTTTACCCTAAGGAGCAAGATGTGCTTTCACTTCCTAACTGGAAATAACATCGTTGTCATGATTGGTAGCCTATACGATCACCCAAGGCTAATAGTTAATTAGCAACTATTTTAATAACTAGACACTAATTACTAACGATTTTAGCTGTTAATATGCTGCCGTCTTTAGAAGGATTATTTTAGTGGCCGGGATTTGATCCCGTTTCTATTTTCAATTTAATAGTTACTATTAGACAGAAGGATCATATAGGCTACTAACCATGACAACGATTGATTTCAGGTCTCCACAACCTTATCATAACTACAGGAAATAAGCTATAAAACTTCAGGACATGTTCACGTAAAGATTGGGCAATCCTTATTGTAATATTTGAGAACCGTTTTAACGTTAAAGATAATGGATATTTTACCAATTATAACAAGTAAATTGTAACCACGTCTCTGTAGTATACACATATGATTTCGATGAAATGGAATTAACTGTCAGTTTATTTTAATGGAGGCTTTTCGTTAGATACACGTGGCCATTGACTCACACTCTTAAATAATTATAACGAGGAATAAAGAAGGTTTTGTATTTTGAAGATGTATCACTACTCTTAACGGGCAGGCACAAGACTGAGAAAAGTATTGTTCATTTGATACAATATAATAAATGTATTGAAAAGCTCCCTTGTAGTTTCTTGTGTTCTTTATAATTGTTTAATGTGTAAATAAGTTTTTAGTATCTGCCATATGGATTTTATAAGTGTATGGAAGAGTGGTGTTATGTATAAAAAATTGCTCTGAATACAACTTTTAAATAAATCTATTGTGTGAGTGTGTGTATATATGTAAAAGAAAACTACTGTAATTCTAAGTCTATTCCTTAAACATGAACAAAATGTGATTTACCTTTTACTAAGAATTCCTCTTTATTTGAAACTTCATAAAAATATTCTTAATCCTATTGAATTCATATATACCTTCTGCCAGTAGTATTTGAGTAGTGGAAGTAAATGTTAATCATTTTGCTAATAGTAATATTTCATTTTCTTGCAAATTAATTTCTGTTAAATTAACAGTTTTCAAAAAATTCTGATTCTAAAAGTTTTTTGGAACTTATATTTTCTAAAATTTGTAGGTCTTTTGTATAACCTCTCTCTTCTTCCTCCATGTCTTATATCTTCCATCCTATTGGGACAGCCCCACGGTGGTATGTCTGCAGACTTACAATGCTAGAAACCAGGTTTCAATACCAGTGGTGGGCAGAGCACAGATTGTTTTTGTGTAGATTTGTGCTTAACTTCAAAGCAAAAGTATTAAAACTTCTTTGTCTAAATCTTTCATTTATTTGTCCCTGTATTTTTTGTTGAATCTTATTGATGTCTTGGTTATGTATAACACACACTTAAAATTCTTTCAGATCAAGTGGAGCTCAGTTTGTTTAAGAAATGCTTTGTTCAAGTATGATAATTTTGTGATAATAAAATTCTAAACAAGTAATTGGGATCAGATCTGTCCCCAGTTAAGCAAGGAAAATAATCAGAACATACAAGTTGTTCTTTCTTTATTGTTGTTCTAAAATATAACTTCTCAAAAGTAGGGGGAAAATTGGGTTGCTTTAGAATAATTAGTGTATCTGCAATTTTAAATTAATAGTGAAAAAAATGTTTTCTTAAAATTATTATTTTTCATGTTCACAGGGATAATTCTTTTTACATTCATCTGCTTTCATGAGAGCCCAGCCATTGTGACAAGTGTGGTCATTGGACTATGCATAATGTTCTGTGGAGCAGCTTCGATTCACAATATGTATCTATGGCAAGGAATTAGCTCAGGATGTCAGCCATCTACCAGGAAACTTCATGAATCAGGTCTTGGGCCTGACTTGACGGCTCATGTTAACGAACTCTCAACTCTAGTATAATTAAATTACTGGTACAGAGACAATTACCTTATGAACACTGAGTTATGGTTTATATTCTGCAACACCCAGTGATTGAGAAGCACATTTCAATCCAACTGTGTTTACACAGATGTTATCCCACTGCAGTTTAACCACCAACCTGATGTGTTGACCAGCCAGTGATTTGAACTCCAGTGTAATATAGCAAAACATCTTTGCATTTTACAGGAAAGACTATAAGATTTATAAGAACCTATGTTACAAATATATATATATATATATATGAATTAGACTAACATAAAATTGTGGTCTTCAAATTATATATATATATATAATACAAAGCAACTGAAGTTCAAACACAAGATTTATGTAAATGATTTGGTATTTTGAAGCTAAATCTTTTATATAAGTTTAAGGGATCGGGAAATGCATGTATGTTGCACTTAAACCTAATACAGGTTACAAATTCTTATGGCTTGCTGTTCATATGACTTTTTGCAAGTGTCTTGATCTTTTGGGTTTTGTAAAAATAGATCTGTATGATGCACATAAACTCTCTACAGTTCAAATTAAGAAATGAGCAGTTAAAACGTAACATTTTTTATCCTTACTTTGCAAAATCACTGTAATTATGTTAGTCTGAGCCAAAGTAGGGATGAAAAATTTTAAATATTAAGTAACTCAGTTTTGTAACATTAAAACTTTCTATATTAGTATAGCTAGCTAGATTACATATATATATATTGATCCCTACTTGTCTTTATTAAATTTAAAAACATTTTTATTGTACTTGTGTAATAGTATTTCAGATTGGACACGGTGTGGTTGAAATACTATTAATTGTTTGTTTGTTTGTAATTAAGCACAAAGCTATACAATGGGCTATCTGTGCTCTGCCCACCACGGGTATCAAAACCCGGATTCTAGCATTGTAAGTCTGCAGACATACTGCTGTGCCACTGGGGGGGCTACTATTATTCATTCTTCTTGAAAACCCCTAAGGTACTGAATAAAGAATGATGGTTTATAAAATGTAATAACCTATTACTGATGTTTTATGACAATAATAGTTATATTAATGCTTCACCAGCTAAGGAAACGCATTCACTATAAGAACTGTTGTAACAAATGGCTTATGTAGTATTCCAACCACTGCTGTGTCCCAGCTGGCTAGATGAGTTCTGTATTGAGCAAAATGTATTGTCTGCAATGGATATGGTGGACATGGTATGGTTGAAATACTATTATACATTATTATAAAAAATATCCCTAAGGGACTGAATTAAGAATGCAGTGTTAAAAATATAATAAGTCTCATACTGATAAAACAATTATAATAATGCTTTGCCAACTTAAGAAAGACACTCACCATAAAAAAAGCAATATTGTTTTGTTTTTTTCAGTCTAGTGTTAACCACTTTAAGTTAATAAATATTTGGTAATCTACTCCTCTGATATTAAACCAAATATGAGCTCAATGTTAATATGCTTTCATTATTAAGCCAGTCTACTGTAATTATAATTTTATTCTCTAGTGTTCCATCTCTATATTTTATTTAGCTTAGAAGTGTTCATTTTAGAATTTAAGCTAAATGATAAAGTAGATCTTACTAGTTTGTTAACTAATATAGCAATAATACTACATGTAAGGCTGAACTTTCCAAAGAAGTATACTAAATATTCAAAATAAGCAAGCACAATGGGCAAGTCAATTATGAACTGGCTTAATGTGAAAAATATCGTACCGATTTAGGTTTTAAGCTGTATCATATTTATGGGTTTTAACAAATACTCATCATTCAAAAAACAATAACAAACTAATATATATTTGTACATTCTTTTGTATATATTTGTCATTTTAAGATGGTGAAGGCAACACTAAAACACATTTTCTAGTAGTTTTACAAGTAATATCAAACCAGCGTCTCAATTCAATGATCCTACTGCTCACTCTGCCGAAGAAATATACAAGTTATAGTTCAAAGAATAATTAAACAACAATGGCTTTTTTAATTCAAATCCCTGTACTTATTAGTCTCATTTATCTCAAGTTAAAACAAATTAGACTGTTTCCTTTCAAATTTAGAGCATGTCAAAATAAGGAATAACAAGAAATATCAATCAAAAACAGATCTTGGAGTTAGCATAAGATCCCACTTAACTAATCACATAGTTCAAAGATATTAGAAAATAATAACAAGAAGTCCAAAAAATGGGGAACATATTAAAGATTAATTTATAAAAATAATGAAATGATGTTTAGGCTCTCATACTTCAACTCCTTACAGAACTGAGAAGTTAAGTTTCTAATTGTGACACTGGCATTTTTTATTATTCTTTATCATCTATGTTTCCTCTTTTTTCTTAATTAACTACAGTAACTTTAGCCAGTTCAGTATGTAATTAATTCTATTGGCACAGTACATTAGTACTTCTGTGGTTGCTTAGAATTTCCAAAGTTTGTATCATTTTAAAACATATTATACTATTAAAAAACTGGATTTCTCTTGCTGCAAGTAATTGCTTGAAAGACCTTTCTAACTAAGACTAATTATACTATTCTCTGTAATCACATGTTGTATCAAAGTGAGAAACAAAAACGCACACACTTAAATGGAGTCCTTTGTACAAAACCATCAAGTTTTGAACCTCTTCATTCGCCAATTTTAAAAATGAATCATGAAAAATGTCCTAGGCTAAAAACAGATACAAGAGAGCTGTATAAAGAGAAAAAAAGATATTTTTGTGACAAAAATTATCTGGACAGGTAAATAATAATAGTGTGTGCATCAAGAGTTATTCCTCAAATCTTCATTTTGTATAAAACAAATACTGTCCATGTAGAACAACATAAGACACAATTAAGTAAATGTTATGTTTCAGCATGTAATAGATTATAACTGACAAGCTTGCATAAACCCCTAAAGTTGATAACAAATCTGGCTTTGATATTTTTTGGACAAAAAAAAAATCAGCCATGTTCTCTTTTATACAGACAAGTTCACAGTCTAGACAGGCAACTATGGGCCAAAAAAATATATATAAAATGACGAACTAAAAAGTTTTTTCTTAATGTCTGTCTGTAGCTAGTACCATATGATAGTTATTGACTTTCAAATGCAACATCATGACACCTTTACTAGCCAAGATAATTGTGAAATATCAATCAAAAGTGATACTTCACTAAAAGAGAGAGTTTTTGGTTTCCAAGAAGCCAGTCTCTCTGCTAGAAAGCTTTAAGAAATAAAACCCTATACTAATAAATTTCAGTTATTAAAACTTACTAACTGTAAATGTTTTTTTGTTGTTTTTTCTTGCTGTTTAAGCAATACTCAAACAATTATATTTAAAAAAAAAGGTTAATATAACACTGATTTTAAGAGTAAATTCAGATTTTTTTTCTGGTGAAAAAAAATATACCTTTATAATTTAAAAATTTTGTAAAAATTTATGTTAAATACTAAATGACAAAGTTTTATCAAGTTTTTTTGTTTATTTTAAGCATGTTTCCTTCACCATTAAGATGATGCATAAATTATATAGAAAAGGATAGTCTCACTGAAAAAAGTGAACTCAACAGTTTTGTAGTTCCTAAACTTTTACAAAGTGTAAATAAAACACATCCAATGCATTAAAAAATAAAGTAACAAAGAAAAGCATGGAACTATGAAAATCCTCCATTTTTATTTTTCAAAATACATGACTAATTGGACAAATACTTCAAACTTGCATCAATATAATGTAAAATACTGCATAATGGTAATTTACAAAGCAAATAGCAGGACATATTCAAAGAAATGTTTGGTGGAAAAATATATATGCATCTGCAAACTGCTAATGCAACTTTGTGTTTAAAAAAAATCATTAACTTCGAATGGAAATTACAATATAGAAGATTTCAGAGATGTTCTCATTCTCATAAAAAGGACCTTTTGAAAATTAATGAATAATATTTTAAATACCACAACAATCTAAAATAAAGTTTCACAGCTTAAGAAGGAAATCAATAAGTTTGTATTTTATTAAATAATAACAAAAAACAGGTAATGTAATTGAAAGCAAACCTGAATTTGCTTTATTTAAACCACAGGAAAAAGTCATCCACAAAAAAATAACGTTTAAAACGAGTTCTAGTATTTCCCAAAACTTGCATTTAAAAATTAATCTAAGACAAACAAAAACCAAATTGTCCACAATACTCAAAGCTTTGAAAGAAATCTTTCAACAAAAAAGTATTAGTTCACATGTATCTATTACAGTATTTCAAAAGTCATGCAGAAAATACCAAGCTCAGAATAATTATGAGTCTAAATAAACGAAATAGTCTTTAAGTATTCTATAAGGATAATAATAATACACATATTGGATATGATAGTGCCCAATGATTGTTTAAGGTTTCATTGTAATGGGAATATCTGTAAGAAACAGTTATTTAAGTTAAGCTGTGACATGGAATGAAACAACTGATGTACCGTTGTATTTTCCAAAGTAATTGTTCTGTTCCAGTATTCCTGAAAATCAAATTCCATAAACTTAGAATCATTCTGAATTTACTACATACAAATGTAAAAATAAAATCCACTTAATAAAATAAACTACAGTACATAATTCTTTAAATATAAGTACTTTTGTAGTTACATGTTTTACATATTCAAGGTGAGCTTTTGATGTTCAACCAGGATTAAAAGTAATTGTTCTGTTCCAGTAGTCCTGAAAATCAAATTCCATAAACTTAGAATCATTCTGAAGTCACTGCAAACAAATGTAAAAAAATACATTTAAAAAAATAAACTACAGTACATAATCATCATCCAATATGGACATTAATTTGGCAGTTCAGGGTATAAAATAACTTTGAGTAATTAATCAAAAACTGAACACATTTGCTTGACCTTTCATATGATGAACATTAACATTTTCCTTTTATGAAAATGTATTTCAAATAGATACTAACCTCTCCACAAAATAAATAGCTAGCGCTAATGTAAGGAACATTTTTACACATATTCCAAGCATTTGAATAAACTCTCACTCGCTGAGCTAGTCTATGATAGAATCACAATTAGGCAATACCTCTCCTTGCTTAGTACTTCCTTCAACCCTTTCACTGTGGCTGGGACTTATATTTCCCACTGTGCTTGGAAATATACATCACAGATGCAGTGAATGGGTTAAGCACTTTGTACAAACCTTAAGCTCATTCTTGAGGAGGCAATAGACACATTGAAAAAGGGAGGTATCTACCTAAAATAAATGTTCTTCCAATATTGAATATTAAATTAAAGAAAGTTTATCTATTATAATTGAACTTCAAATAATAATCACACAGCTTTATTACAATCAAGTCTGTTCTGAATATCTTGTATAATATTGTTGCATTATCCTATTCTTTTTGTTTTTCTTTAATTGATTTTATGCTGTATTTTAATTACCCTTTATAAAATGTTTGAACTTTATAAATTTTTGTACTTAATATTTTGGGACCTATTGGCCCATCTTGGCTGTTCCAATCTCTAAACCAAATTAAAATAATTTTAAAAAAATCTTAAAGCCACCCCTTATAATTCATATACTTATCAAGTTTTTTGGAAACTCACTTAAATTTACTGCTTCCACAATATCTGAAGGCAACCCATTCCAGAGACCAAACACCCTGTAAGAAAAATGAAACCGTCTTAGCTGGAGATGACTCCTACCTTGCCAAAATTTATACTTGTGCCCCCTAGTGCTTCTATTCTCACTGTTAAAATAAAAAAGATGATGCATCAACACTATCAATTCCGTTTACATTCTTAAACACCTCAATCAGATCATCCTCACTCCTATTTTTTCAAGAGAAAACAATTTGAGAGATTTCAGCCTCTCCTCATATGACAACAACTCCATCCCAGACACCATTTTAGTAACCCTCCTCTGAATCATTTCCAACAATTCAATGTCTTTCCTAAGGTAAGGAGCCCAAAACTGAACACAATACTACAAATGTGGCCTAACCAATGATCTATATAATGAAATTACACCCTCTTTAGACTTGTATTCAATATTTCTTTAAATACAATCTAAAATCTGATTTGCCCTACCACTAGCAACACAGCATTGCTTGGATGGCTTGAGTTACTGATCAACCACTACACCAAGATCCCTTTCTTTCACAACAATGTTAAGGTTATTCCCATCCAATTATACATATTATTCAAATTATGATAACCCACATGCATTATCTTGCTTTTATTATAATCAAAACCCATCTGCCATTTAATTGTCCACCTCACTAAATGATCTAAATAATTTTGTAAATCAACAGCATCCTCTTCACAGCTAGCAAAACCTTAATATAATCTGCAAATTTATGTACACTTGTGCAATTAATCCAGTTTGACTGAACTCCATTTCTAACAACCCTCTGTTTTCTTCCAACCAGTCACTCTTCTATCCAATTTGCTAACTTATCCCCCACACCTATAAGATAATTTTTTTTTTTTACAAGCCTTTTATGTGGCACCTTGTCAAATGCTTTCTGAAAATCCAGATTCATCAAATCCACACCCTTACCCTCATCTACATAAGCAGTAACATTTTCAAAAAATGTCAAAAGATTGTTAAGGCAAGGTTTTCCCTTACTGAAACCATGTTCACTATCCAATATAATTCTAAACTTTGTTAAATGGCTTTACAAAGCATCTGTTATTAAACTTTCCAAAACTTTTCCCACAATTGATGTAAGACTAATGGGTCTATAATTACTGGGACAATTTTTATATCTCTAGGAAGGTAATATATTCAAAGAAGTAATACAGAAACCTGCACACACTGCCTTTGGATGGCATAGAATTGTATGTAAACTATTTATTACAATATGTAATCTGAGGACTTATGATTTACGGAACTAGAGCTTTGCCCAAGTATAAAAGTCAGGTATTTCCATAATTCTGTCTCTTGTTTTTTGGCTCTTCTCTCTCTCTTGTTTCTTTTTTTTCCAGATCTAGCATTTCTAGCTTCTTATCATCTTTAATGTTCCCACCCTTGGCACCAGCAGCCAGATAACACTCATGCAGAATAGAAGCCTGACCAAATCGATAACATAAACACTGTGGTGTGAAAAAAAAATTTAAATTTCCAAGTTTACTTGTTTTCCTTTGCTGTCTATATTTGATTTATTTTTGTTTAACAGTCCTGACAGATGATTTTGACTTTTTTTGTCAGACATCAGTGTACATGAACACCACATATTTATCATACTTTACACAGTAAGAAAATATGTCAGATTAATATTTGCAGACATTACTTAGACCTCAAATCAGGGAAGCAATTACATTTTTCTGTAACACAAAATGAAATCTCAAGAATACTAATAAAGGGTAATCTAGTAGCAAAAAGATGTGTTTTTACATTCAGCTGTACTCTTTAACTCATATGCAATAAAATCTATATTTTTATAATTGATCAAAATAATCATTAATACTGGATGTTCATTTGCAAATTTTAGAAATAAGTTGCAAATTATTAGTTTACTCTGAAACATTTCAGGCAATTATCTCTAAAAAATACACATCTTACTATAAAGGTGATCAATTATATGTGTATTAGCATCCATGATCTGAGTTGGCTGGCTCGATTACTGTAATTTTTTGTGTGGTAACTGGAAACTAGCCAATGTTTATATTAGCTATCTTGCTTAAGGATTTTTGCCCAAGAAAAAGAGATAAAAAAAGTACAAGCACTAGGGAATATTTCCACTTTTTTTATGGACTTTTGACTTACAACAACTAGAGTTGGCTAGCTTGATTACTGTAATTGTTTGTGTGGTAAATGGAAACTAGTTAATGTGTATATGGGTTATCTTGCTTTAGGATTTTTGCTAGAGAAGGGAAATAAAAACCTTTCTGAAATAGAGCAAATTTGCACTTCCTTAAAAATTTTTGGCTTTGAATTTAAAGACACAAGCATTAAATAAGTTAAATGAATCAATTATTACCTTCCTCAAAGTATGGGTATGTAATTATCATCTAATGAGACCATTAGGAATTTAATAACAAAAGAAAGAAAGGGTACATTAATTAATATTGTCCTTTATAGAATTTTTGCTCCCTTATCATGCGTCCTCATCTAGTATGATAAATAATAAGCAAGATACAAGTAATTATACACCACCACATATATTTCTGTGTGTATCTAAAAATAAACATGGCACTATGAGTTGTTCATCTATAAATGTGGTAGTGAAAGAATTAATTATACTTAAAATCAAAAATTACATAAAAACATCATACTGTTATTCATTTTAAGAACAAAGTGTTTAATTATACAAAAATACTATAGTTAGAGTAACAAAGTTGGTAAATTTCATATATGCAACCATGATAGTGGTTCTCTTTATAGTTATTATTTAGATATAAATGTTTCTTAATAGATTGTGCACGATACATTAATACAATTAAGCTCATGAAAGGTTATTATGCTGGCCTGTTTATAATGTCCCTTAATGTACTTTGTATTAATCAAACAAAATTACTGTTTATTTGGATAAAACTTTAATATCTGGAAAGGATTAGAGAATGACATTCATGAAATGTGTACTCTGAATAGGGTTGCCAACTGTTAAGTATTTTACAGAACTATTTCTGTTTTAGGTAAAAAGATAATATGATTTTTTTCTTATTTACCTAGAGTGCATCATTTTTTTTTTAAACCTTAGTTTCTGACTTGACGAAACTGCTGAAAATTATCAAACATCATCAAAAGTGTTCCTGTTTAGGTTGTAACCCGAGCTCTGACACTGAAATTATCTATTCTTCGAACTTCTTTTCTTTCATACTCTTTGAAAAATATAAGTTTTGGAGAATATTTGCACCTACATTTATAATTTCAAATAAGTATCAAAGTAAATAAATTAGATGATTAGTAAATTTCCTAATGTTGTTAAGTAAAATACATAATGTAGTGTTAAATAATCCTTATCATATTTGTGGTGTGTTGTGACATAAATAACATTGATATAAAAAAAGTACACTTCACCAACTTTATTCTGCTCATGCCTTAACAGCTGTTGTCAAGGAATTTGCTAATAGAAATAGCATCTCGACTGTTATTATGTCTGCTGTATCCCAGCCAGCCTGTACAGCCCTAGTATTTGCTGAAATGCTTCTTCATTACTAGATATAACAGTTATAATGTGGTTGATACATTACTTTATTTTGCTTTAACTCAGAAGTTTTTCCTAATATTAAATACTTAAGCACAAAATATTAAGTTTAGTATTACCTAATAACTAAATGTTTAATAATAATTGAACAATATTTTTTGGAAAAAAATATATATAGCAAATAAAAAAAGAAAATCAATTAACAAAACATTTTCACTACATTTGTCTTTGTGCTGATAATTGCTAAAGCTTTTATTAAGAAAAGATAAAAAGACAGTACTAACCACAAGCCCTTTCAATATCCCTTGCTTCAGTGGATACAACTATACGTCGTTTCTTGAAAATAGTGTTATTCAGTTTCATTACAGCTGCTTCAGCATCTTCAGGTGAAGGTAACAGTACTAGAGCTTGTGTGCTGAATATAATACACATTGTGTTCAATACTATTACTGCCACTGATATAAAATGTATTTTAAAACCAACTTTATGAATCAATACAAATACTTCCCTATACACTGATTATAAAGTAATCTTTAAGCAGAAAACTTAAAAATAGATTACTCCCTTTTATAAAAACGTTATATATCTTAAACAACCATACATGCATAAAAGACTATGTACCTTTTAAGCAAATACCTAAAATATAATTTTCAAACAGGGTATTAATTTTTTATATGCTTTTTTTATGGATCTTCTATCCAAACTGCTACACTCAGGGGGCTATTAAAAATAAAATCTGTATTTAAATGTTTTTTATATTTTAAAAATATCAGAAGAAAGAAAACCTCATTTAACTTTTCCCACACATCAATATATACCGTATTTTTCGGTACATAAGACACACTTTTTTACCTCAAAACTTGATGTCAAAATCTGCTTGCATCCTATACACTGAAGGTATTAATAATATATATGTATATATAGATATACGATATACACAAGCCATATTTAAATAGGCATGCATAGTTTAGTTCAATTGAATGTGTTATTTATAACAATAGTAGTTTTTTTTTTCTTTTAAAAAACATAACTATTTATAATGCTCCCTAAATAATAAAGAATAAATTACAGCGAAAACAATGAAG